TAACGATAGTTTCTGCATGTTCTGAGCAGAGCATGCAAGAAATATAATGCATCTTACCTCCTCTCTCATGGTCCGTTTCCAATAGCGCTTCAGGAACGATCGTGATCGTGTGCATTGTGTCGTTTACCAGAAAGCATTATTCTACGTCACGATCCACGTGATTTCTTCATTCCTCTTGCAGTAAAATCCAAAAACTACACGCAAACATTCAGTCATTTTTGCATCAACTGTTGCAACGAAAAATGTTGGTGGCGCAAGGAGAAGCTTGTCGTTTGGAGTGACAAGTGATCACCGCTGCTTTTCCTTGTCAGAGTCAACAATACACTTTGTTCTGCAGCGTTGGGAGTGGTGTTGGAGTAGAAATTGCTGACTAGACGTCGCGGAGGGGCGAGCTTTCCTGCGCAGGTATGAGTTTGGACGTATTTCAGAATGGTCGAGTGGAAAAATTCAAAATTGTTTATTTCAAGAAAACCCCAAAAGGATGATGGGGGACATGTCCTCAGTGCTAGAAGAGGTGTTCTACTATCTGCCGGTGTATAGTGTTTGCTAATTGAGGACGTAGCTCGCTGTTTTATCAGCGCTTGTAATTTGGCTATTTTCAAGACGATCATTTGTGGCGTCAAGGGATGATTGCCCTCGTCTTCTGGAATGCTGGCGTGGCTAAGTAGTGCTGCCCCAAGAACTCTTCTAAGGTGAGGTAATGATGGCTTGATGGAGTTTTGTTCGTAGCTTGTTCTTGCACGCTGTGCCGTGGCTCGTTTGTTGACCCATAAATCGTGCCAATATTGGGCCAATATTGAGGGGTATACAAATTTCATGGTTCCCTTCAAAAGATTTTGTGCGGGCTTTGGAATGTCGATCTACACCCCAAAGCAAACCTACCTGCAAAATTTGAGCGAAATCTGAGAGATCGACTTGCACATACATGTATGTTCTGGTTTTCTCAGACATGCTCTCTTAAGTGCTTTCGCAGTTTTTCCTGTTATAACCTAAGTGCTAGGATTATCATTTTCATAGGTGTTGTTTCTTCTCACTCCATTTCTCTTTATTAGTATCTTTCTGGATTGTTTTTCATTAGTACAACGTAGCTTCCTGAGGAGTGTTGTGCGAAAACTAGTTCGAAGTACGATTTTTTGTTCATCATTTTCTCCATATCACATTTTTTTTCTTCCATGTTCTTCACTGCCTTCGTATCCACTCGTTTTTTGAATACAATAAAAGCCTTTGTGAAATGTCGGTTCAGCTCGTTCTGTTGATCGCAATTCTAAAATTATTATTATTATTCCACAATCACGACGACATAGTGCCAATAAGCATGTGATGCGGGCGATTTTAACCAGCCATGGTGGGGACAACTGAGAAAAAGAAGGAGAAGAAAAAGAGACTTTTGGTCAGTTATTGATCCAAAGATGGCGTCGCTCGAAAGTTGTATTTACCGCTCAGCTGCCTGCATCCACCAGTTGAGACGCTCTTTTATACGAGAACTGAATCGTCTAGACACAGCACAAATAACGACGCACACACCAATCGTGCTCATGATACGCAGTTTAAACCTGACTCGACGAAGAGACAATACCACCTACTATGTTTGAACAAGGGCATCACCATACGGGCATTGGTTGTGATCGAGCTCCGAGCGGCCGCAAGCAAGCTGTCCACGGATCAGAATAATTGATGAACAAATAATAAAAGGACGGAAAAGATGTATTATCTCTTAGTTTCACGCACTAAGGGCATGTTCGATTGGTAAGGATCAGGATCCCGATCCTTACCAATCGAACATGCCCCTTAGCGATCATCAGATAACAGTAACTGGAACCTCTCTGTTTTAATTGATGGACAACTAATCCGTTTCTCGTGTCGCGTTGTCATAATGATCGCCTTCTGCACGAATTTCTAAATTTTCTTTAGCAGTTTACTTGCACTCTCGTAGGTAATCTTCCTGAGAGGAATGCACTACATGTATCTGCCACGTGGCTGCATCCAGCATCACTGGTATCTGACTGATGTATATACATGTATGTGTACGTACAGGCAAAGCGGCTTACGGATAGTATCATACAAGATTGTAACGTTACTGTGGATATTCAGTTTACAGACTTGAAGTACCCAATTCAAGGACGCATAGCAACATACCACACAACTTCTGTGGCTCTAAAGATTTGAAGATCGATTGGAGGGGAAGTTAAGCGAACACGAATCGTCAAGAACCGAACGCCTTACAATACTTCGACTGAGACAATTTAGATGGAAAATAAGCAGCAGTAACTAGTAACAGTTTTACACGACGATCGTTTCGCCGTATAGGTAAGGACGCAGGCGCGTACGCAGGGGGGGTTTCCCGTTGCCCGGAAACCCCCCAAATGTTCCAAATGAGCAACGTTTTTGGGCATTTTTTGGTAGGGCGCATGATCGATCTGGCAAGAATGCAAAACTTCAAAAGATCGTAACTCAGTCAAATCTCGCTCAAATCCAACGATCCAAATATCCAGGTCGAATAGAAAACTCTCAGCTGTTGGTTGGAACAATTTGCGAAGCGCTACGAGCAATGTATCGTGAGATAAATCATTCGTTAATAGGCCGTCATCACACCATGGTACAAAGCGCTGCGTCTAGGAGTTTTTGGTCGGTTGTCATGATGATCCGTATACGGGGTGAAAACGGGAGCAGAGGAAACGGGAGACGTAGACGAGGTATGGAGAGGGGGGGGGGGGTATACGACTTTTTGCATGAACGTGCGTATCTCCCCCAGCCTTTTTCCGAGCGACCCTGTACTTCGATGTACGCGGGTTCAAATTTCTCCAAAAACCTGACAGCGTGTACGCGTCAAGAACTGTGCTTGTCTGATGACACGACCATCCCGCATCCGTTTTGGTTTTTTCACCATAGACGTAGACGTAAACGGGAGTCGGAGAACGTGGTGTGATGACGGCCAAAGTTGAGCCGCGATCTCGGCAATTTGAAAAGCGCGCAGTGCGACTTGAGCATCGAGAATTTGAGATTTTCGTCGCGCTGATTTGCTCAAATTTGCAGGAGCTTCACTTGTGATATTTTCAAGAGTACACAGCAAAAAATCGACACTCTGCGATCAAGAAAAACGAAATCGCTGGAGCAGGACGTGTTTGGCCTTTGGGCCTGTTTGGGGCATTTTTCGCACCATCGCTGCACTCTATCGCTATAGCCTAAAGCGCTGGATATGTACATGACTGTAATGTGTCCTGGCTATCATGGTTGACCTCATTCTCTCCCTGGTACCTTTCCACTTCCAGGAAGCCCAAGATAATGAAGATTGAGTGAGTAGAACAGAAGTTATGATCCAAACAACACGAAAAATGCATAATTTTGAAAATTTCCTAGTGCTGTTTAGAAAGGGTTAAAAATTAAAACTCATTGTTTGGGATTCGGTTGGAAACCCCCCTAGAGGTGACCCTGCGTACGCGCCTGGGACGGCTCATCAGGTGTGCATATTAAAAGACTCGGGTGGAGAGCCAAGGATTAATTTGTAAGAAGAAAAGAGAGCAATGTTATCGCATGAGCGGATTGTGAAGTAACTGGTGGTGTTATCGGATATTATAGCGTGACTTGCAGATATTTGGTCCGGGTCCTCTTTTCGTCCTAAAGAGAAGCATAATTTCAAAACACAACCAGCGATCGCAGACAGAGACGTTCCCTTTCCAGCGCGAAAAACACCTCGTGAGCACCAGATAGCAGCGTCAATCAGTGGTAGACCATTACCTTTGAGTGGACACGGAGACCGTGGATAGTGTTAACACGACTCATGTTGGCTGCGAGAACGTGATGGAATGAATCAATGTTAATCTTGACGGAAAGGGTAGTATACATGACATGTGTGTGTGTGAGCGCGCGTGCGTGCGTGTTCGTTTGTGTGTGCGTGTGTGTGTGTGTTCGCGCTTGTGTTTGTGTGAGGGATTCACTGGCCAGAAAAAGCCACTTCTGTGTGGTGTTGTAGACCAGGGTTAAACTACGGTGTTTGTATTGGCGGTCAATTCATCAGCCTTGCTGTTGAATGATGTAATCCCAGCACAAATTTGTTCGCTATCATCGCTTCAGGTATGGGCATGCATGTGGAAGTGGGGTAGTGGGAACTGTGTGAAATATGTGCATGTGTGTATGTGTGTGTGTGTGTGTGTGTGTGTGTGTGTGTGTGTGTGTGTGTGTGTGTGTGTGTGTGTGTGTGTGTGTGTGTGTGTGTGTGTGTGTGTGTGTGTGTTGCGACCCCAGCAAGGGTAGGGTGTACATAGGTAGCTCAGACTGTCTTGGCCGTTTTATGCCGATGTACTCCGTGTGGTGTAGACCAGGTCACTGGTGTGCATTGCCATTGGTGGTCGATTCACATGGGTCCGCAAGTTGTGTGGAGTAGACAGTTATCTGGCGCAAGTCTTGATCTGTCTCATTCAGATCTTGTTCGCTATCGTTGCTATACGTATAGGAGAAAATCTGTGGGTGCACATCCAGCGCATTTGCAGATCTGGGTGCTTCTCTTGCGACGGGCGTATACATGGTACATGGTGTGTTTGTGCGTGCGTGCGTATGTCGCTATGCGTGTGTCTGCACAGTCTCAGCATTATTTTAAAACTATTGTCACCATGTCAGGCTGTGTGACAATTTGCACGCGATCGAAAACCAGCGACTTGTCAACTTCCAGCAGGAACTTTGACAGCCCAGGAATTCTTATGAATTCTTTATCCACATGCACATCGGGGAAAAGGTGGCGTGATACGGGCCAACACAGCAACACAGCACAGAACTTACTCCAGCTGGTACATGTACACGAACACGCATACGCTTTTCCAGTACAGTAGTACATTTGCGAAATTTAGGGGGTTCCGCGAAACCCCCGGAACCCCTCCTGGATCCGGCCCTGAGCTAGTAGTTGGGTGTGGACGTGTCCTTCACATGCGTACCAACAGCCATGTGCATTGACTCTTGGACGTGGCATTGGAGGGACTGTATGCGCATGTGGGCGTAGTAATAGTAAGTTTGCTTTGTTTTGACAGTTAGATCTACGGTAGGCAAATCTATGCTTCAAGTAAGTTCAGCAATCTGGACCCTGCACAGGCGTCGGAGCCACAACACGCATGCATCGTGTGGATTCCAGAGTACAGTAAAAACAAAACCGGATTATGAATGAGTCCCAAATCACTTCCCTCTATAGCTATTCTGCTTCGAATCGTTGCCAATGGCCAGCTCTTTGGGCCAGCGGGGCCAGGTCTCCGCCCAGAACCTAGTCCCGTCCAAGTATTTGCTACGTGGCGTGGACCAGGCCGAGCAAGTCTTAGGACGAGGTGCGTACGGAGTGGTGTTTTCAGGGGATTGGCGTGGCACTCCTGTAGCGATAAAACGACACCACCCTATGCTCGTCCTCGATGAACATGAACAGTTCTCGACATTCTATCGACAGTTTCTGCAAGAGTTTCCGATGTTGAAGGAGTTGCCGCATCCGAACATTGTTCAGGTATTTGGCATGGTGGCAGCGACTGGACCTCATGACACACCTGGATTGGTCATGGAGTGTCTTTCGCAGACGTTGCGAAAACGTTGCAGCGTTCAGCCAGCGTTATCTCTGTTGGAAAAATGCAGCATCGCTCTAGGTATATCGTCTGCCTTGGAGTATCTGCATAGTCGCAGTATCATCCACAGGGATCTGACGACCAACAACATAATGCTGTGTGAGGTGGTTGAAGCTGGGGATGTACAGCTGAAGGCAAAGATTACAGACGTTGGTGGAGCTGCAGAGCTGGATGACAGCACACAGGCGCAGATGATGACAATGAACCCTGGAGCCCAGACGTACATGGCACCAGAGACCCAGCGTGTATCCAATGAGCCAGGCCGAACGCAGTACGGTACTCCTGCCGATTGTTACGCGTTTGGTGTGTGCTTGCTGGCCATGTGTGTAGGCAGGGAGCCTCCCAACATTGTCACACTGGCACGCGAAGGAAGAACGAGAGATCTCCAAGCTCTTGGCTCTGACCATCTGCTTCATGACATGATCAGCAGGTGTTTGAAAGTGGATCCTGCTCATCGTCCGAACGCGACCGCCATTTGTGCCGGTATCGGAGCTGTGACTGAGATTCTACGAAGGCAGCAGCAGCAGCCGACAGCTAGCAGTTCCACAGCTGCAGATACGCAGGTGGACGCGAGTGAGCCGTCTCCCGACCAAGCCGAGAAGGCACGTCTGCGTCAGGAGCTGCAGGAGCTGCAGGAGCAGCTGCGTAGCGCTGAACACCAGCTGGACACGGCTCAGCAAGCTATTCAGGACCGGACGGCCGTGTTGGCGGAGAGAGATCAACTGCTGCATACCATTCAAGAGCAGCTGACCGCGGCTCAGCACGCTATACAGGATCGGACGGCCCTGCTTGCGGAAAGGGACGAACTGCTGATGGAGCGAGATGCAGCAGCTATACAGCTCAGCGCTAGTGCCGAATCAGCAGACGCGCACAGGGCGAGAGAATCGCTGATGCATATTGCATCCCTGGAAGGAGAGGCTGGCTCGCTGGCTCGTTATTCACTTCTTCTTGGTCCACCGCCGTTGCCAACAGCTGGAACCTGTCCAAAAGCCACGGTAAGTTTTTTTAAATGTAAAATGTGTCTCTAGGTCCTTCTGCACATGGCTACTAAAATGGCTAGCCAACCATAATGCTTGTAGCCTTCTAGGAACTCAATCACATGGTGTTGGTCTGAGGAAAGTGCGTCCTCCATTCAAACTTTATTTCAGATCACAGTAAAATTGGCAACTTTGATTGGCCCGGCCATACCATAGTCCATTACACTTCCCATATTATGATATGGCGGATACACATGGCCTTCTTGGCAGTGAACATTGGTTTGGGTGGCCAAGCAGTTGGTTCCTGCTGGCAGGGTTTCACAGTTGACGAATGAACACAAGGAGAGATGGGAAGCGAGGGTTTGTGGGAGATATTATGCCACGAAAGTTGCGGATGTAGCAGCGATGGCAGGATCTGGAAAGGTATTTTACGTAGTTACGCTGGTGTTTGTATTTGTTGAGATTTGTTGGGGATGGGTATTTCCGGTAGATGCTGTAGAGATCACTCTTGACTTTAATAGCTGCTCTAAGTGATGCAGTCATCCAGGCCAGGCGTGTACGCAGGGGGGGGGGGGGTCCCGTTGCCCGTCGCCCGGAACCCCCCAAATGTTCCAAACGAGAAACGTTTTTGGGGCACGCGATTGATCTATCTAACAAGAATGCAAAACTTCACCTGATCGCAGCTCAGTAAAGTTTTGCTCAAATCCAATGTTCCAAACATCCCAAGTCGAATAGAAAACTCTCAGCTGTTGGTAGAGACAATTTGTGTAGGGCTGCGAGTAATGTTTCTTGACATAAATCATTTGTAAGTTGAGGCGCGATCTCGGCAATTTCAAAAGCGCACCGTGCGACTTGAGTATCGAGAATTTGAGACTTTTCGTCATGCTGACTTGGAGGCAGGCACAGTGGGAACCCGGAACTCATCAAAATGGCCGCAATATCAGATATTTGGTGTGCTACATATAGTAGTGACTAGTAGTGTCTGCTCCAGAGCCGGGTCAGCAACCCGGCGGGTACTGGAACCTGTTTGGAAAAAGAACACCCGGTCACCTGTGACACAGTTGGGAATACAATAAATTATATCAGGGAGCCCTACAATAATTACAACTCCCTGATGTACATACAGTAGCCGCACTTGAACGGACGGCAGGCACAGTGGGTCGGTCAAAGACCTTGATTGAGATAAGAGAGTTGCCTGGTTCAAGTCCTGCCGGGGAGCTTTTTTTTCAGCCGTGCTGCTACCCACAGTCAACTGGGAACTTGTGGCCAGGCACAAGGGGTACATGGATGGAGCTAATGGGGTTTCTCGGCGCTTGTGCCAGTGGCCGTGAGACTTATCCATGTGCCCCCACCGTTAGGCGCTGCCTCTGAGGCTAGGGTTTACCGGGTGTTAGCGGCCGTCGTCAGTTTCCTTTGGGAACGGACACGATAATTTACTTTTTTTACTTGCTCAATTTTGTAGGGGTTGCACTTGTGATATTCTCAAGAGTACACTGCAAAAATCGAAACTCTGCGATCTAGAAAAATGAAATCACTGGAGCAGGACGCGTTTGCAATTTGGGCTTTGGAGCATTTTTCACACCGTCGCTAGCTGCACTCTAGCGCTGGGTATACATGTACAGTGTCCTGGCACTCATAGTTGACTTCATTCTCTTCCTCTCCCGGATACAGTACCTTTCCACTTCCAGGAAGCCCAAAATTATGATTGAGTGAGTAGAACCAAGGAACACGAAAAATGCATAATTTTGAAAATTTCCTAGGGCTCTGTTGAAAGGGTTAAAAGTTAAAACTCATTGTTTGTGATTCGGTTGGACACCCCCCCCCCCCCCCCCCCCCCAGAGGTGACCCTGCGTACGGGCCTGCCAGGGGCAGGGTTTGTGGCATGATGTCGGACGAGGAGGTGAGGATCTTCCAGTATATACGTCCAAGGCACCTTCAAGGATGTCAGTGAATGCGGAGACAGCCGGGGTCGATGCAGTTGGAGACAAGGACCTGAGACCAGGGTACATCTGCGAGAAGATATTCATGGCATTCCACATGTAATCCGTGGCAGTCCGGACATTGTATCTATATGTAGATGGTGGGCTACGAGGGGGGGGGGGGCTGCTGTGGGGGAAGACTTTGATTAGGAGAGCTCAGCCAGCAGGACGGCATGGTCTGATGTGCCAAGGGGAGGCAGATGTTGAATGTGGTTGAGTTGCTTAGGGATGTTGCTCGCGATAAGGTCTAGACAGCTGGCAAGTCCAGGCGAGCGGAGGTGGGTGGGAAAGGTCACTGATTGGGTCAAATTATAGCACGAGAAGAGGTCTGTGCATTCATCCGTCTGGTGAGTTGGGCACCAGCCGTAATACCTACAGTTGAAGTCGACTGATATCACAAGGGCTTCGGGCTTCGTTTGAGTTGAATGAAGGTAGGGGTGAAAGGGGTGATCCGGGCAACCCGGGTACCCGTCTGTTTAGCTGCTGATCCGTTAGCAAACGAGTACCCGATAGTGGTGTAGGATTGTAGGGTACAGTATTAGAAGCTTGCTTGTACAGTTGTACAGTTAAGTGCACAGTTTTGTGTGTGTTTTTCCTCGTTCAATCCTGCTACATATCACAGTATCCACTGTAGCTACGACAATTTCGACTGTTAGCATGTAGCGCAGTGATTGTGCACACTGTGCTTGTCGCGGTGTAGTGTACTTGTATGACTTCGCATATCCTCCCGGCGTGAAATCCGGAAGGCTACTGTAGCAATTGTTGCCCGAAAATCGCTCTCCTATCAGAATGTCTGCAAAAGACATGCTGCGCTTACGATCCCTAGCAAATGCAACGTTTTTGGAAAAAGTATGGCGGATAAAGGGTACCCGATAACCCGCCCGTTAAGCCAGATACCCGTTATTTACCTTAAAGGGTAACCGTTTCACCCCTAAATGAAGGGCTATTTGGAAGCGGTCGAGAAAAGTCGAGAAGTCACATGGCGATGGGGAAGGTGCACGGTAGATACAGGCTACTGTTAGGTAGTTTTATCTGTAATAGCTTGCGTAACATGCATGCTGCAATGACATCCACAGCATGTGTTACTGTAAAGCTCACACCCCAGCTAGCTAACCAAGGATCTCTCTTCTCTAATAATGCTGATAATTATTTCAGTTTTCAGTTAAAATAGAAAAGATCAGATGGGAACAAACATGGGTCAGTATCTGAGTGAAGTTTTCAGTTAGTTCGAATGTGTGGTTGCAACTTTGGCAATAATTATGAGAAGATTGGTTGTTCTTAGTACTTGACATCGCCTTTTTCCAACCAACTTGACTTGTCATTTTCAGTCCCCCGATTCTCATTGTTGCCTGGTGTTCACGGCGTATTTGCGTGGAGCTCAGACTCACAACATAGAACTGTCTTTTTCCATCCTGTTCACATCATGAGCATGAGGACAGCGAGTGTGGGTTTGTGTTTTTCGTTTTCCTGTGTTTCAGTGGAAGACTGTCGGGAAACTTCCAATTCCAAAAGGTGAGCAGCCACGGGTGTATTCCACTGCATGTGTTGATGGGAAGGTCAGTGTTGTTCTGACGGCTGTAAGCAACATCTACAAATGTAGGATTGTTGGCGCTGACGCAAACAACCTTGCGGAAACCGCCTGGTTCGATATATACCTACCGGAAAATGTCCGTGGCGATCCCGGCGAATCGATAGTGTACTCCCTTAGGCCGCATAGTGGTAGCCTGTACTGCCTGGCATTCCACTCAGTCAGGCCAGCCATTCTTTACAAGCGCTTGCAAAATGATCAGTGGCGGGAAGTGGCTCGACTACCGGAGTTTCGCACTGTATTTTGTATCACTTTCTTTGACACCCAAGTCATAGTCGCTGGAGGTTCTACTTCTACGGACACCAGCGTCTTTGTTCCTGCTCAATCGCATGTCATTTCCTTCGATCTGACTGAGGGGAACACAGAGTGGGTTGCTTGGCCGAACCTACCTGCATCTGCCGGCATGCTGCCTTCCCTGCGAGCTATCGTGTATGATGGCTACCTGCATGTGTTTACATGTGCTCTTAACCAGCCAGCTGCTACACACGTAGTCTTCTCAATGCCGGTTACACAGCCTGTGAGATCACGTCCCTGGTCCAGCACTGTACTGCCTCATCCACCGCTCAGGCAGTTCTGTCTACAAATTTTCAACGGCTGTTTGATTTGCTCTAAACTTGAATGTGGCACTGGTTCAAGTCAGGGAGAAACGATCTTCATGCTGTCACCAGTTTGTCGCCAGTGGCTTCCACTCCTGAACACCGACCTTGTCAACGGCCGTCCTTGTGATGTTGATGGCCGTTTGGTAGTCTGTACGCCAAGTAAAATCAAGCAGCTCTGCTGGGAGTCAGTACCCACAAGTCAACCAAGAGGGTTGTTGGAGTCTTTGTTGGAGTCTGTTTTTCGACTGTAACGGAGGTTCCAATCTGCCTTTGTGCCTTTCTTTGCAACACAAGGACTCTCTCCACCAGAAGTAAACGCTTAGATTTTTTCCTTAAAAAGAGATCACTGCAGGTATCCTCTCTGCTTTTCAGATTTGTATAGTTTGGTACTCCTAGTTTAGAACTGTGTGCTTCTCCCAGCCAACTTGAGTTGATTCGTGGTGGACTTTTTGTATACTAAATCGGACTCTTTGTCTTTAGTATTGCGTACCGGAAGATCTCATAAGTACCCAAATTCACTGGCCGTCCCGCAGTCGGTTTCTCTTCACATTGATCTGTATTCATTTTGTATCGACTGAAGCATTATAGTCGAACTCTTCTCTTTTCCTGCACAAGCCCCCCCCCCCCCTCCCAATCAATGTTCGCTTTTTCTTGATTCCATGCCCAGAGTTCCATTTTTGCGGCAACATTTGCCGCCCGTGATTTTTAAGCCGCCGAGTGCTTTAGGTAATTATAGTATTATGACCCCGTAGTACCGTCGGGTCTATGGAACCTTACTTGTTGCTCATTGGACTCTGCAAATGACTGTATATTGTGCATAGTGACCCCTCGAACTGCTCGCAATAGCATTACATGTACGTGACATAGCACACACATTCAGTTTCTCTAGTATAACAACTTCACTTTATTCTTGATTATTATATTCTTATAATATTCATATACATGTATGGACTGGTCTACATGTATTTGCCCCGCAGGATTGCATGGCTACTTTGATCGTGATGGTGTCATGCTTTTCCAATCAGTGGATCTAAAACTTCAACTTGCATGAGTACAGGACATGTAATATCTTGCTTGGGCATAATTTTGGTTCTTATCACCTGTTCTGCACAATCTGGGGCGTGCTGGAAAGCTCTCCCCTTGTAGAGCGGAACAAGCTCAAGCTGGCTACTGCGTCTGTAGATGGCACATATCCAGCGCAACGGCCCGCGAAATAATCACAGAGCTGGATATATGAGCAAAGTGATATTCCCGCCTCCCTGACGGAGTCTCGAATATGCATGCGAACAGAAGCACCACAGAACCCAAATGATTTGTTTTGTAGGGGAGAATTGGCAGTTGGTCAGTTGGTCAAGCCTTAGTAAGTTCGTGGTGTACCGTGCTTAGAAGCTGATCGTGGAATTATTGTTGTTGTAGGGTTGACTGTGGAGTAGAATAGGTCTCGACCAAATATGCTAAAAAAAGAGCATATTATGCTCGTCGCATATCAGGGAAAACGTCCATAATATGCCAAAGGCTTAGCAAGATATGCAAAAGATATTCCAAAATATGCCAAAATATGCTCGACATAAGCAGAAAGTGTAGATCATTTCAGTAAATTTACAACCTTGGAATATTCATTGGCTTCACGGCTATCATGCTTATGGTGCAAATCAAAACACATCCGGAATAGTAAGGCTGGGGCGTGTCCCCAGCAACCGTAGCGATAGTGTTCATCCATGGGGAAATGTAGCAAACGCCTCAACCATTCCAAATTCATCCATAAAAGGCATTTCTGAACGCATTTTGCCCATAATATGAATGTTTTGTCCCCATTTTCTGCAGAATATTTGAATTATATGCTGGCTTCATTCCAATATTCCCTTAGTCGCTCAATGCCATATGTGAACTGTGTCACAAATATGCGCAAGCATATTTGGTCGAGGCCTAGAGTAGGATCATGCAGTCTCTTCAATCAGGCTGCAGAAGCCCCCGGATTGAATCAGCGTGGTTGATGGCCCTCCCTGTCCGCTGTCCGCCCACTATCCCCATGTATAGAGGTATTCAGTCAAAGTGTATGTCTAGAGACTAGTGCCAAGTAGTGGGATGTAGTGGGATGTAGTGGGATGTAGGGGGATGTAGTGGGATGTAGTGGGATGTAGTGGCATGTAGTGGGATGTAGTGGCATGTAGTGGCATGTAGTGGGATGTAGACTAGTGGGATGTAGTGGCATGTAGTGGCATGTAGTGGCATGTAGTGGCATGTAGTGGCATGTAGTGGCATGTAGTGGCATGTAGTGGCATGTAGGGGGATGTAGTGGCATGTAGTGGCATGTAGTGGCATGTAGTGGCATGTAGTGGCATGTAGTGGCATGTAGTGGCATGTAGTGGCATGTAGTGGCATGTAGTGGCATGTAGTGGCATGTAGTGGCATGTAGTGGCATGTAGTGGCATGTAGTGGCATGTAGGGGGATGTAGTGGCATGTAGTGGCATGTAGTGGCATGTAGTGGCATGTAGTGGCATGTAGCGGGATGTAGTGGGATGTAGTGGGATGTAGTGGGATGTAGGGGGATGTAGTGGGATGTAGTGGGATGTAGTGGCATGTAGTGGGATGTAGTGGGATGTAGGGGGATGTAGTGGCATGTAGTGGCATGTAGTGGCATGTAGTGGCATGTAGTGGCATGTAGTGGCATGTAGTGGCATGTAGTGGCATGTAGTGGCATGTAGTGGCATGTAGTGGCATGTAGTGGGATGTAGTGGGATGTAGGGGGATGTAGTGGGATGTAGTGGGATGTAGGGGGATGTAGTGGGATGTAGTGGCATGTAGTGGGATGTAGTGGCATGTAGTGGGATGTAGTGGCATGTAGTGGGATGTAGTGGCATGTAGTGGGATGTAGTGGCATGTAGTGGGATGTAGTGGCATGTAGTGGCATGTAGGGGGATGTAGTGGGATGTAGTGGCATGCAGTGGCATGTAGTGGGATGTAGTGGGATTATGTGGCATGCAGTGGCATGTAGTGAGATGTAGTGGCATGTAGTGGGATGTAGTGACATGTAGTGGCATGCAGTGGCATGTAGTGGGATGTAGTGGGATGTAGTCGCATGCAGTGGCATGTAGTGGGATGTAGTGGCATGTAGTGGGATGTAGTGGCATGTAGTGGCATGCAGTGGCATGTAGTGGGATGTAGTGGGATGTAGTGGCATGCAGTGGCATGTAGTGGGATGTAGTGGCATGTAGTGGGATGTAGTGGCATGTAGTGGCATGTAGTGGCATGTAGTGGCATGTAGTGGGATGTAGTGGCATGTAGTGGGATGTAGTGGCATGTAGTGGGATGTAGTGGCATGTAGTGGCATGTAGTGGGATGTAGTGGCATGTAGTGGCATGTAGTGGCATGTAGTGGCATGTAGTGGCATGTAGTGGCATGTAGTGGGATGTAGTGGCATGTAGTGGCATGTAGTGGCATGTAGTGGGATGTAGTGGGATGTAGTGGGATGCAGTGGGATGTAGTGGCATGTAGTGGGATGTAGTGGGATGTAGTGGCATGTAGTGGGATGTAGTGGGATGTAGTGGGATGCAGTGGGATGTAGTGGCATGTAGTGGGATGTAGTGGGATGTAGTGGCATGTAGTGGGATGTAGTGGGATGTAGTGGGATGCAGTGGGATGTAGTGGGATGCAGTGGGATGTAGTGGCATGTAGTGGGATGTAGTGGGATGTAGTGGCATGTAGTGGCATGTAGTGGGATGTAGTGGCATGTAGTGGGATGTAGTGGGATGTAGTGGGATGCAGTGGGATGTAGTGGGATGTAGTGGGATGCAGTGGGATGTAGTGGCATGTAGTGGGATGTAGTGGCATGTAGTGGGATGTAGTGGCATGTAGTGGGATGTAGTGGCATGTAGTGGGATGCAGTGGGATGTAGTGGCATGTAGTGGGATGTAGTGGGATGTAGTGGGATGTAGTGGCATGTAGTGGGATGTAGTGGCATGTAGTGGCATGTAGTGGCATGTAGGGGGATGTAGTGGCATGTAGTGGCATGTAGTGGCATGTAGTGGCATGTAGTGGCATGTAGTGGCATGTAGTGGCATGTAGTGGGATGTAGTGGCATGTAGGGGGATGTAGTGGCATGTAGGGGGATGTAGTGGCAAGTAGGGTGATGTAGTGGCATGTAGGGGGATGAAGTGGCATGTAGGGTGATAAAGTGGCATGTAGGGGGATGTAGTGGCATGTAGTGGGATGTAGTGGCATGTAGTGGCATGTAGTGGCATGTAGTGGGATGTAGTGGCATGTAGTGGGATGTAGTGGCATGTAGTGGGATGTAGTGGCATGTAGTGGGATGTAGTGGCATGTAGTGGCATATAGTGGCATGTAGTGGGATGTAGTGGCATGTAGTGGCATGTAGTGGCATGTAGTGGCATGTAGGGGGATGTAGTGGCATGTACGGGGATGTAGGGGCATGTAGGGGATGTAGTGGCATGTAGGGGGATGTAGTGGCATGTAGTGGGATGTAGTGGCATGTAGTGGCATGTAGTGGCATGTAGTGGCATGTAGTGGCATGTAGTGGGATGTAGTGGCATGTAGTGGCATGTAGTGGCATGTAGTGGCATGTAGTGGGATGTAGTGGCATGTAGTGGGATGTAGTGGGATGTAGTGGGATGTAGTGGCATGTAGTGGCATGTAGTGGCATGTAGTGGGATGTAGTGGCATGTAGTGGGATGTAGTGGCATGTAGTGGGATGTAGTGGCATGTAGTGGGATGTAGTGGCATGTAGTGGCATGTAGTGGCATGTAGTGGGATGTAGTGGCATGTAGTGGCATGTAGTGGGATGTAGTGGCATGTAGGGGGATGTAGTGGCATGTAGGGGGATGTAGTGGCATGTAGGGGGATGTAGTGGCATGTAGGGGGATGTAGTGGCATGTAGGGTGATAAAGTGACATGTAGGGGGATGTAGTGGCATGTAGTGGGATGTAGTGGCATGTAGTGGGATGTAGTGGCATGTAGTGGGATGTAGTGGCATGTAGTGGGATGTAGTGGCATGTAGTGGGATGTAGTGGCATGTAGTGGGATGTAGTGGCATGTAGTGGCATGTAGTGGCATGTAGTGGGATGTAGTGGCATGTAGTGGCATGTAGTGGGATGTAGTGGCATGTAGTGGCATGTAGTGGCATGTAGTGGGATGTAGTGGCATGTAGTGGCATGTAGTGGGATGTAGTGGCATGTAGGGGGATGTAGTGGCATGTAGGGGGATGTAGTGGCATGTAGGGGGATGTAGTGGCATGTAGGGGGATGTAGTGGCATGTAGTGGGATGTAGTGGCATGTAGTGGCATGTAGTGGGATGTAGTGGCATGTAGTGGCATGTAGTGGCATGTAGTGGCATGTAGTGGCATGTAGTGGCATGTAGTGGCATGCAGTGGCATGTAGTGGCATGTAGTGGGATGTAGTGGCATGTAGTGGCATGTAGTGGCATGTAGTGGCATGTAGTGGCATGTAGTGGCATGTAGTGGCATGTAGTGGCATGTAGTGGCATGCAGTGGCATGTAGTGGCATGTAGTGGCATGTAGTGGCATGTAGTGGCATGTAGTGGGATGTAGTGGCATGTAGTGGGATGTAGCGGCATGTAGTGGGATGTAGTGGGATGTAGTGGCATGTAGTGGGATGTAGTGGCATGTAGTGGGATGTAGTGGCATGTAGTGGCATGTAGTGGCATGTAGTGGGATGTAGTGGCATGTAGTGGGATGTAGTGGGATGTAGTGGCATGTAGTGGCATGTAGTGGCATGTAGTGGCATGTAGTGGGATGTAATGGCATGTAGTGGGATGTAGTGGGATGTAGTGGGATGTAGTGGCATGTAGTGGCATGTAGTGGCATGTAGTGGCATGTAGTGGCATGTAGTGGGATGTAGTGGCATGTAGTGGGATGTAGTGGCATGTAGTGGGATGTAGTGGCATGTAGTGGGATGTAGTGGCATGTAGTGGGATGTAGTGGCATGTAGTGGGATGTAGTGGCATGTAGTGGCATGTAGTGGGATGTAGTGGCATGTAGGGGGATGTAGTGGCATGTAGGGGGATGTAGTAGCATGTAGGGGGATGTAGT